CGTACGTAGTTTAGTTATGACGCGAGTGTGGAAACGTAACAGTAACGTACTACTAATAGTATATATTCTTAGTCTCTCCTACGTACACTATATATATATATATATTATATATATATATATATATATATATATATATACGTATATAAGTGGACATAGCGCGACTTGTGTGAGGGAGACGTTGTTGCAATGCCGTTTCCGCCATCTGCAGCTACTGCGTTGCGTCTCTCGTTCTATCGGCGACATAATCAAACAGGTTGTATAATTATAGCAATATTTCTACTGTGTATTTTCACATATCATGTCCGCTAGTGTCACCGCTAGCAGCTATAGTATTGTCCCTTGTTTATACGTTACGTATGATTAGCGCTAACTATAGGCGCGTGTTTCTTTTGTTACTTCTCTCTAGCACTGTCTCACGCATGCGCGTTATTTTTAGCTTTTGTGCTTTGCGAAAAAACAAACTTGAATATTCCCCCGTAACATCAGTTCGCGGCCTCCCTGCTTTACTAAAGCTAGTGCCGACGTTTATGGTTACGTGGGAGTGGTTCCAAATAACAGCGCGCTGTATGAAAACATATCCGCCAAGTGCATAGGCGCTGGAGTCACCTCGGTGTTTAGATACGCCAGAACTAATATGTTAATATTGAGAATAAGGCGTGTTAGCATATATTACTGGCAAGTGGTACTGACTATAAAGTGCTCTGCGCTTTTCGTAAGGCGACAAAACCTACTGTGAGGCGTTGCAAACTTATCTTTACTGTCAATCTACATCTGCATTTTAAAATTTATACATGACGATGGAGAGACAGTATAGGGGGATTACAGTTCTTTAGTCCTACGGGTTGTTGGTCCTACGGGTCGTTGGTCCTACGGGTCGCTGGTCCTACGGGTCGTTGGTCCTACGGGTCGTTGGTCCTACGGTGCACGCAGGCACACGTAATTTTTTTCTTTAATAGTTTGTTAATTTAATTTAAAATTTAAAATTTAAAATTTAATTTAATTTTTGATTAATTTTTTTAAATTTAATTTTTAATGCATTTTGTTTAAATTTAATTCTTTTAAATTTTAAATTACCCACGACCAACGTGGTAAATTTAAGTAGGACCAACGTGTCCTACGGTGCACGATACAAATAATACGCTGATGCACATTAAACTTATAACTAATGAATACTCGGTGAGTGACTCGACTCGATCATTCATCCACCGGCTGGCACCCGCAGCCATAGCACGCAATATTTCACGCTGACTGCATGTAGTGTCAAACGGCCGCCGACGGGTGGTTTCTGTTTGTGTTTTGCGGTCGGCGCTTTGTTTTAACTGTAGCGCAGGTTAGATATCTCTATACAAATGTTCCCAGTCGCTGTGCGTACACAATGACACGTTCCAGGGATCGGGAAATGAGGTAGGATGTTACAGCGGCCGGTGAATCAGAAATAGTGTCAATGCCTTATCCCTGTTTTTTTTTTATACATTTGCGCTTACAATAGCACAAACTATAGCTCAAGGGGTCGTTGTCGTATCAGGTACTACAGATATGTACCCGAGGTACACATATGTATACACAAAGTGTAACAGACTTGCACTACAGAAGTGTACCCTAACCCTAACACTAACACTAACCCTAACCCTAACCCTAATCCTAACCCTAACCCTAAACATACCTCATATTAAAATATAAACGTAATTCTAAACAACCTAAAACTACCTCGGGTACATATCTGTAGTACCTGATACGACAACGACCCGATCTGCCAAACTATAGTTGTCGATATTGATTTTTCCCGTTACTTTGCAAAGAAACATCGGAAACCATGGAGAGCCACCGTGGTTTAATCACTGACACAGTAGTATCTCGTGCTATTGAATCGACAATGTCACCTAAACGGTTCGATACAGTGCGGCTTATTCAAATGATATAGCAAGAGCCGCGTTTCGCAGAAAAGTCCTCTAAGGTTCACCGTCGGTATATAGCTCATACATGGTTTTGGTCTGCGCAGCTGTAGAGTCAAGAGATGACAGATACACGGACGACGCGACGGTTGAACGGGGAGGGTTGGGTCGCTCTCCAGTGAGCGTCACATGTCCGCACTGTAAATCGAACATTACGACCGTGACGACGTTAGAGAACGGCAAGGCCGTCTGGATAGCTGCCGTCGCATTGACACTTATATGGTAATGTTTTACTATTTACTAGATGCTACGGGATCACTTGTATAAAGGTATACCCATTCATCAATCCATTAATCCGTATGTTCATCCATCCACCCACGCACCCATTCGCTCATCCATCCATCCATCCATCCATCCATCCATCCATCCATCCATCCATCCATCCATCCATCCATCCATCCATCCATCCATCCATCCATCCATCCATCCATCCATCCATCCATCCATCCATCCATCCATCCATCCATCCATCCTGCATCCATCCATCCATCCATCATGCCATCCATCCATCCACCATTCATCCATCCATCCATCCATCCATCCATCCATCCATCATCCATCATCCATCCATCCATACCATGGGGACCATCCATCCATACCCCATTCGGACGTGCGCGGCGGCCCGATGGACGGGAGAGCGGGCGAGGAAACCGATAATCCAATAACCATCCAATCCATCATCCATTCCATCCACCATCAGACCATCCATTCCATTTCCAGTTAATAACATACAGCCGGGATCCAATACCATACCATCCCTCACATCCATCCATGCCATCCATCCATCCATCCATACCATCATCCATTCATACTCATTTCATAGCCATTCCATCCATCCATGCCATGCCATCCATTCATTCATTCAATTCATTCATTCAATTCATTCCATTCTGTCATCCACGCATCCATACCATCCATGCAGCATATCCATTCCATCAATCAATTAAAAAATTGATTCAATCAATTAAATCATCAATCCGCCCATTCTAATTGTCATCCCAGCGTGTCGAGTTCTTAGAGGAATTTTCTAACAGTGATATAATTACTCAGTGTTCACACTTTGATTATTGGCCGCTCAGTCCTTGGGTCATTGCGTTGCCTTTCTAGCGGGTGACTCGCTCGCTAGTCCCGACGGCCTAATAGTCTGAAAAGCCCACATTGGAGTCCGAAAACCACTAGTCCGAAAACCACAGGGGATGCAGGTATTGATCTATAGTCGCTAATGTTTAATTAATTAATAATTATTATTTTTAATTAAATTAATTATTTAATTAAGTGTTAATTTCCATTTTAATTTTAATTTTTAATTTAATTTTTAATTTTTAATTTTGGTAATTTTAAATTTTATTTTACTTTTTAATTTTAATTTTTACTTTTATTTATTTTTAATTGCAATATTTTGGGGGGGATGTAGGGGGAGGTGTGTGGTGAAGGGGAGCTAGGTGTGTGGATGGCGTGCAAAATTTCTAATGACTATGGTAGAAACCTCGAGTTATAAGCGCCCTCAGGTAATACCGCCAACCTCACTTATCGCCAAGGCAAAATGCTAAAGGTACAGATTGTTTGGATCAATTTGGTACGTAATTTAGCCATCGGAATCCAGCCCCTCGAATCCAACTGCCATGCCAGCATTATGGCTAATGTACACATCTATATACAAGGCAATTGATAATACACATCATTGATACTGCGTATATAGCAGTAGTATTTACAGTATACCGTAGTAGTAGGCGGTTGGAGATTCTGCCCATCATCATCTATGATGGCTGCGCGCGTCAGATTCAGTTCTGATTGTGATAGACCCTTCTTAAATATTATTCCATGGACCTCGGGTCTGTGGGCCTGCCGCACAAATTAAAGATCAACCGACAATATGTAAAAATAACGACAAATGTCATAACTAGTTCAACCACAAATATAAACATTATTGTTCTAACGCCAAATGTTAAAAACTTTTTTCATTGTTAAGATAAGTTATATTCAGGCAGGATTAATAAAGACAAACTTTATCCTTGTAATAAGACCAATTTTGTCTTTATTAATCCTCCTGTTATTACAGTTATGTATGTATTGTGTGTGTGTGTGTGTGTGTTGTGTGTGTGTGTGTGTGCGCGTGGGTGTGTGCGTGCGCGCGTGCGATTGTGTGAAGAATTAATGCAAATATCAGGGACTGTATAATATAGATAATATCTCATTATCTATTATATGTTAA